CCCAATTGAAGTTTTCAAGATCTCGTATGACTAACAGTACAATATAACTTTATAAGTATTCTTTATTTCTCTTATGGAGACAATTCCAGCAAGTATCCAATCATCTGATTCCCTCTCCTCCCATTTAGACATTTGGATAGTCAATTTGTGATATTAAGGGACATCCCAAGCCAATCAGTGTGATGCAGAAGTAAACAATAAATAACCCACATTCATGCTACACATTTGAGATACAACATATAATGAGAACTTTTATCTTAAATTCATCATCGAGTTTAATGTTATTCTTTATGAGAATACAATGTCCTTACACTCTTATGGAGGATGACAGGTGCATCCCACGGCCTACGTTTTTATGCAACCAAGTAAGTACAGCTTCCTGTGTGGGCAGGGGACTGATTTGGTAAAAAGACCACTGTGTGATGTTTACCTGAGCTGTTGGAAGATCCCTCCTCTTCACCATCATCAGCCTCCGCTCGATCCGAGTCTACAGCTGCCGAATCCCGGGAGATGCTCATGGCCGTCATCTGTTGAGTTACTGGGCTGGGAGAGCTTGGACTGAAATCACAACAACAACAACAGAATAAATATACATCCAATCCAACACAATTCAAACAATAAAGAAGGTATTTTTAACCACAGAAACAATGTTGCCACTTAAATCTATATACAATTTATATTGTTCTTGCTTTATTGTGCTGCATACATTGTCCCGTCATTTTGTTTGGCGATTGACTTCAGTTTTAATCCGCTTCAGTGCACTCCCTGAAGAGCTATCACAATCAACTTGACAAGACACAAGCTGCTAAAAACAGGCATGCACAAACTGAGACAGCGCATATACACACACAGCACAGAGCACAATTGTCAATGATCACATTATATAGACAGATCAGACACAAATCCCTCCTCTCATGGTTCCAACATTTCATCACACTGGGAACAAATGACTGTTTGGACTTCCCTGTGGAGAGTCTGGGAAGAATAAACCCATTACTGAAACAGCTTCTATGATAACTGGGTTCATTATAATGTGGTTCATCTGTATTTTCCAGGACACACAGAGATGTAGGCATGGGTCTTGGATAATATTACAATACAGTAACTGCTCAAATATCAATTCCTTTAGAAGTCTATCAGATTTTCTTCCTCTAATATGTATAACTGGTCTATTGTCACTGTTTGGTTTCTTTCCAGGAAATGACAGTGGCATCTTTTACAAATCCAGCACAAACAACACAACATATCTACTTTTAGAACAACGTCACAGAACTCCAACATCCTCATCTTAAATCACTTTTTGCACCCGTCACATAAAATATCCAATTATCGATCAATAATTAATTATTGGCGTAACTAAATCAAACTATACGGGACAACATGTTTACAGAAAATGGACGACGTCAGCAACAATGTGCAGCAGTTTGAAGAACTGTCCCTCTGGCAAGTCTTTAAAAACACAGACCAATACTCTTCAGCTCTCTCTTTCAGTGTCAACTTCAAACAAGAGAGCTCTGTATGAATCATTCAGCCTTTGTTCACAACTACAAAAAATGTGTTTTACCTTTAAACCTTTGAAAAATAACAAAAGACTTGGTTCAAATGGCAAAACCAACAACAGAAAGAAGGCGCTGGTCAGTACTACCCAATGACTAACCATCCATAACAACAATTCAAATAAAAAAGGTAAGGTGTACCAAGATTGCTTACTGATAAGGATTATGTGTGTAATTGCACGGATAGAGAACATTTAGTTTGTTTACTAAAAACACACACAATATGGTTAGCATATTACTTCTCAAAGCGTCTGAAAAGAGTTGTTTGGATAAAGAGCTTTTACCAGAAAGCGCAGAGTCATCGAGTTAAGTTCAAAATGTTTTTTCCAGAGCAAGCCGCTAACGGAAGTTACTAATGAGAACACAGTGTGCTACAGATTGTGATAAACTGATGTACTAATTATTTACTCGATTAAACAGATATTTTCACAACATAATCAAATGTGAAATAGAGTGACGAACACCATCTACAAGTTTTCCAATTATTCTCATTGAACTTGTCTGATCAGCTTATTAAAAACAAGAAGTCTTCACAGTGAACACAGGATATTTTGTTCCTAATTTCAATTGATGAATACAAGTTTAAATGACCCTCCACTTTTTCATCTGTCCATCAACATACCTGGTTGTTTGTTCCTCAGGTGGGGTTCCTGCCACCTCTGTACTGGGCTCTGATGTTGAACTCTCCACAGTCACACCAGCTGACCCCGGTGATCCTGCCGGTGATGTAGCAGCTGTGGAGGACAGAACAACACAATAGTATCAACAACACAGAACCTTTTGTTTATGGCCTTTCAGTGAGTCTCTTGGTATCCTTATATAAGCCATTCATCTTTTGTGTTTGTCTCATATGACCAGAGTTGTTTTGATTTAGTTTGAGACAACACATGGAGTCACTCTCTTGCTTTCTGTGGCTCATTATTAATCAACAGTGTCAGCACTGATGTGTGGGTGTAGGTGTTAGTATGAGTGCGTATTGTGAATGTTTTATTTATTATCATGACTTGCTCTTATCTGTATTCAGTGATGTCATCTATTGTAAATATGTACAATGGTATAACAATGTCGTGGTATTTTCATTATTGCTTTTAGGATGTCTATCACCATCTGGCAAAGGGACTATCGGTGAAAACTGTTTTTAATATGTTGATTAATGTACACTGTCCCTTATTTTAAATAAATCAATTCAATTCAATTTCTGAGGCCACAGTGTTGGCAGAAAATGCTACCTCTGTTCTCCAACCCCTTTTAGCATGACTGTACAGTTTTTGGGTGACCCCGTTCCATCTTTTTACCTTTCTCTCCCGGGGGGCTGGACCTCCCCCCTCCCTGTTGTCTCTGCAGGTTTTCCTTGTAGCAGACCGAACACATGCCGTTGTTTCGGGGGTTACCATAGAAACCACATCCCATAGTGCAAAGCATTGGCACCTGCGTCTGATTGGTCTTCTGAGCCATGCTCTGACAGAGGGGGCAAGGGGGGATGGGAGAGGAAATTCCTGAAAATGAGCAGAAGTGAGTCCAAATGATTAGCACGGTTATTCATATTTGAAGTTTAAGAAGGTATGGAGACTGGTTTTGGAGCATGACAGTTGAGTTTGAGAAAATAAAATGTATTAGTTACAGACCTATGGGTAAAACCTACTAATTGTAGCTGTTAAACAGGGTCATACCTTCATCAAACTATATTCAGTCCATGAACAGAGTTAAGTCACTAAAGCAGAACTGTAAATTAAATATATTACTTAAGTGACCTGTGGGGTAATGACTTTATTAATGTAGCTGTAATTAAGGTTTTTTAACAGAATCATACCTACAAACTAAATTCATTCAACACCATAAACATATTTAAAAAGTCAATTTTAGCCATTCAAGCAGAACTGTAAATTGTCATTCTGAACAATTCATTTTGACCAAATTGTGTTTCTACATTTTTGTAAAAGGCCAAATACCAAAATACGATAACAACAAAATACTATACAAAGTATCACTTATTAATGACATGCTCCTCCAGGAAAATGTGGACAATGGTCTGGGAGTTTTGAAGTATTCAAATACAGGTTTGTCATAAAAGCTACATGGGGAGCTGTGCACTTAATTAAACATAAAAAACACAAAGAAAGGGTCTCAGTTTCACTGAACAAAACAAGCTACAGGCGAAAACAGCTAACTTAGCTAGTTTATGCTTTCTTCCACCGCACAGCAAGATGTTTTGTTCAGGATAAAGTTAACAAGCAGAAACTAAAGACAGGTCCACATAAAACCCTCCAGGAAAACTTAAACAAAGCCTGCCATTAAAGCGATTACCTGTCAAACTTGTCAAACGATACGTTGGTTACAGTCTAGCTCAACAACTTACAGCTGAGTGTATGAGTTTGTCCGCAGCAGAAAACAATCGGCGTCCTATGCTTGCATAGCTCAAAGCAAACACTGTATTACATTAGCAAACAGCCTCGCTGGACGTTTTGTCTGTCTGACACTAGAAACCAACACAAAGAGAATAACAAAACACCCGTGGTAGCCTTAAATCATGGCTAAGGTCAAGAAAATAAAAAGAACAGCGTCCATAGCGACAGACTGTTTACACGTATTATGTTTTAAATCGAATAAACGCTAGTGTTAGCAGCAGGCTAGCGTTAGCTCCACGGCTAGCATAATCAGCTAGCCCCAAAAACAGAGCGCTCGCCGACAGTGGGAGAGCCGGTTACAGACACCGGGAGTCTCCCATAATTGTCTAAGATGAAGACGGTACCTTAAATTCAAGTTACCGGCGGCTGTCGACGACCTCGGGCTTCAGATTTGTACAAGTTTCGTCCACAGTAGAGCGCGCGGCCTCCTACCCTGCGCTAGCTCGCGACATTCGAAACAACGACCATGACGTCATCCTCAGCATCGATTCAGCCTTCAGTCAGTGAGGCCAGCACAGCAAAGTCCACCAACACCCCAACAAAATAACATCTAAAAAAACTCAGGAATAACAACTTTATTAATGTATTCAAACATGGCAACAACACTGTACTTTTGACTCATTAGCTCAATCCAAAGTTCAGAGACAAGATACTGAAATAAAATATGCACATCTAAAAACAAATGATAAACCTATGAACTATACATCTTATTACTTATTATTATAACACATGGTTTTTGCAGAGTCAAGCTGTTGTACTTGCTGAGAAAACAAAATACTAGAGCTAGTTATGAGCTATTATGAACTGATTTACTCATTATTCCATAGCTTACACAAGCACTATGTACAATTGTTTTCATTTAATTGTCTGGTCAGCCTCTTAAAATCAAGAAGTGTCGAAAGTTTACACAGGATATTGGGTTTATAATTAAATAACTAAAACATTAAATTAAATGAAGTCATCCTCAGCATCGATTCAACCTTCAGTCAGTGTGGCAAGCAAAGTCCACCACCCCAACAAAAAACAACAACTCAAAATCTCAGGAATAACACCTTTATTAATGTATTCAGCCATGACACTAATACTGTACGTTTTTAAAAAGTTGTCTGCAAAATGTCAGCTCATTGACAGCTCATTAGCTGAATCTATGAAAGTTCAGACACAAAATACTGAAATAAAAACTGCAAATCCTTAAACAAATGAAAACACTATGAACACTACATCTTGTTAAAGCTTTATTATTGTGTTGGTTCTTTTGTCAGAAAGTGAATTTAGAACATTGAAATGGTATCTGTGTTGAAAGACAATTTTCATTTGGATTATTCTTAAGGAATTGCTTTGACTTATTTTAAGGCACTATTAAAAGTCTTTCAAACAGCAGTATGAGAGGATACATACATTGATATGTAAAAACACTATAATCTTATAGGAAACATAATGCACAAACAAGTTAATTTTCAAAGGCCACAGGTCAGTGCTTTTGGTTATGATTACATTCCATTAACTTTGATATCACACATTTAGTTTCACATATAGTTTAGATACAATAATTAGTGCATAATGAAGAAAACCTTGATGAATGAAAGGCCTTTTTTCATTAAAACAAGCATATTTATGTTTAGATAGTGCATCTACAGTACACAGACGTCTGTCATCACCTTGAATAACTCATGAACACAACAAAGTCTTGAAGTCTAGTCGTGTGGTTTGCTCGGCTCCATTGCCGCAGCTCCCTCTGCCCTCTCAGTGATCTGCGGAGCAAAAGGTCCCACCAACCAGTTGAGTGGTGTGTTGTTCAGCAGATACTCCATGACACCATCCAGGGACTGTTTAACCTGGGAACAAGGACATACTAGTATCACTTTCAACAATATTACTAAACGATAATCTGATCACAAACTCTACCTAAAAAGTAAGCTTAGCTTGTTGGTAGCAGGAAATACTGAGGTTTAATGTGTACACTACTAAATACAATATACTGTAAGCTTGACTGTCCTATTTTCAGTAATGCATATTAATCAGCGGACACCCCTGAGATTGGATGTTTGGTTATGTAAAGTATGCAGCAGTTTTCTGTTTAATTCTTGTTCAATAAGACTGTGGGTATTATTCCAGCACCAATTTAAAAGGTAATGGAAAGACCAACTGCGTGAAGTAATGGCAATGAAAAAAGGCAATAAAACTTCAAGCAAAAAACTATATTTAGCTTAGCTGATGAAGCAAAACTAAACACTGCGGTAAAGACAATGTGGAGCAATTAGTACTTGGTTCAGGTTGTGACGGCTCTGCTCCAGGAGGAGGGGTGTGATGGTGCTGGTGTTCCCCAGAGAGGCGTGCAGTTCTTCAGCAGATCGCCGTGCGCTGGTCAGCTGGTCCTGGACCGCACCTGGCAGACCCTGAGCACTCGACACCACGCTGGAGCACGCTGACTTCAGCTGGTCGCTCAGACCCTGCACCATGGAGAGGACCCGCCATTCCAGCTGCTGTGAACGGAAAGGTAACAAAAATGTTTGATCGCAATAACGATAATTAGATTTTTGATTTATTTTATTTTATGGGAAGTCAACCGGAGTTTATTGTAAATGTTTTACTTTAAGTTGAACTAAACAGCATCTCTGTGAGTGCTTTTAGTGTGTCAGACACCCTCACCTAACCTCAGGCGGATTCAGAAAAATGAAAGCCCAGGATTTGCCACTAGAAGCCTTCCTTAGGCCAGGGTAGTTTCCCCATCTTATCCCAATTCAGCTGACACAATGTAATATATTCAGGCTCCATCCTACCTTAAAGAGCTCATAGTACCCCCACCCACTAGGGTATTGCGTTCCTAGAATGCAGGGTTATTAGTGGTCCCTAGAGTCTTCATAAGTACAATGAGAGCCAGAGCCTTCAGCTATCAAGCTCCTATTCTGTGGAACCAGCTCTCTGTTTGTTGTTGAACATCCTCTCGTCATTTAAGAGTGGGGTTAAGACTTTGCTTTTTAATAAAGCTTAAAGTTATGGCTGGCTCAGGCTTGCCTTCAACATAATCTTGGGTCTTACATTTAATTTGATTGTACTTCATTTTAAATGTATTTATTTAATTTGTATTTTACATTCACATTACAATGTTGTCAATTGGATAGTCTATGTTGTAATTTTTATTATGTATTTATATTTTAATGTGAATCTGTACAATACAACATCAGCCTCTAAAATAAAAGTCGGACTCAGTGCTAATTCCAAGACTCTTGCTCTGTTCTTATCACTGTTATGCTATAAGCTTTCTTTCATTTGTTAGTGCTACTCCAAGTCACTTTGGACTATACATGCTTCATATGTGCGGCATACACACTCTAAATGCAATCAAATGCAAACATAATCCTGTTAGAAACCATTAAGACAACTCCCAAAGCTTTAGCCCTGACCTCAGCATCATCTCTGGTCCCATCTAGCTCGGACTCGGCCTGTCCAGCTCCAGCCTGCTTCTGCTTCCACTCGGTCCACCGCTGCAGCAGCTGCTCGGAGGCTCCTCCTATCTGGTTACTGGCGGTACCCAGACCTGTGCGAGCAGTCTCTAGCAGGTCCAGAGTACTGGTAATCTGAGCCACTGTAGAATAGGTGGCATCCCTGGCATGTCGTGCCCGGCCCAGGGAGTGCTGCAGGGCTCGCTCCTGGACTTTGGCTGAGAGTTTCCCCAAGCGGACAAAGTAGCTGGGGGGGGTGGTTGACGCGGTCACCTCACTGCCGGCAGGTTCAGCCACAGCAGCTGAAAAGGAAAGTATAAATCTCATATTCTCAAATGTGCCAATAAATGTTTAATATATAAATTAAGCATTACATATGTAGATGGGAGCACAAAGGTCTAATTATAGTTCTATATGTTTTTACATGGCTTTGTTGAATACTCCATTCTGATTGTTCAACTACAGCATTTTACGGTCTATTATTCCTTTATAGCAGACTGCTGCTATGAATAACAGACCAACGCTATGGATGGAGTACTAATATCTGAAAACAGGGCAGCAATACTATCCTTTTTATTGAAAATAACTAATATCATGTCTCAAACTATTAATTTATTAAATAAGTAGCCCTGTAATAAGTGGGATAACTCTATCCTTTGTCCTATAGATTTAACTGCCAAATGAAGAAGTACACTAAAGAAACTCACATGTACATTCTGTATAGGCGGTGGTGGTGATGGTTTGAGTGATGGATGGAGCAGTGCTTATTGGTGTATCTGTTACAAGTTGGACTACTTGACTCTGTAAGACTTAAAACCCATCTGCTCAGGAGGACAAAAATACTTGAAAGCCACCTCAGCTCCCCCAACCATCAGTCCGTGGAAGCTAAGGGAAATGCAAAGTCTGCCGGTGCCTCTATTTAAAGCCACAGTGACCACTGAACAAATCCAAAATCCCCTGAGTGCTGCCATCATAGGTACTTAGCTGCTCCCGCTGATAACAGTAGCAATTGCATAATTTGTATATCCATAATCAGAGAAGAGGAGGGCCTCTTGAGTATTCCTGCAATATTGGAGTATGGCAGGTTGTCATGATAACATGACATCACCGTAGCAGGTGTCAAAGCAGTGAGTGTTGGAAATTGAGGGTGCTTTATGGGCCAAGTTAACAGAGGGGAATTTCACTGGAATTCCTGCTTCCCTCTCTATGAATAGCCCAAACCATTCATGTGTTCAAATCAAACTACGGTGGTATAATTTAACACTTTAATCACGACCACCCACATCCTGCCACATCACCATGTCTTGCCTTTACAGTGATGATTCATTTGGACAGTCTCATCTCAAATTGCTGTTTGATCTATAGCTCAGTGAAGCAAGGACACAGAGTTGGCTACTGACTCTCACAGTAAATGACAAATATTGCAAATGCCATCGTTCATGCATACTAATTATGGAATAAATTAAGCTAAAGTACACGGCAGTAATGCCTGACATAAAGCTCATCGTTCTTTAACTTGACATATCTAAATGTTTCTCTAGTAGAGACATTTAGATATGTAGATCTCATATGCCAATGTGTAACTATATACCATTTTTTTGACTATTTATTCTTTGTTTGCAAGTGAAAATGTATGTATGTAGTGGCAGGGGAAAGAAGGAATGTAATCACTTTTGTTTTCATGAAATACATTAAAAGGCTAATTGTTGGATCCAAATGTTAATAAAAGCCCGGACCCTACAATTATTTAAATATACTTGATTGACAGAAAGACAACTAAATCAATTTAAAAACTGTGATTTGTTAACATTAAAGTTTGTTTCCATCAAAGCATTATTGATGAAGCCCTGGAATGCATATCTTTATAGAAATGAAATCCTTACCGACTGTGTCTTGAAGCACTAAACCTTTTTTTGTTGTTTATTTACAATCGTCTGTGATAAAGAAAACTTGACAATTGTTGTCTATCTCAAAATCTATCTCCTCTGGCCGGAAGAGAACTCTCTGCTCCATAGCTTCTCTTAATAACTGGACTTAAACTCCAACTGTACATTTTACATTTATATTCAATTTAATATTGAATAATCAATTTCTTGCACAATAATATCTTGCATTATATTTGTTACTGTAAAGTTGAATTTCAACATGTATATTTTCCACATCCACGTATATATATATATATATATATATATTTATTTTAACTTTTTAATGCTATTTTATCTCTATTTCCGAAATATTTTGGACTGTTTATTTCTTGTCTTAATTTGTCTTATGTACATTGCCTTGTGTTTTATGCTGCTGCAACGCAAACATTTCCCAAATTGGGATCAATAAAGAACCTATCTATCCATCTATCTATCCATCTATCTATCTATCTATCTATCTATCTATCTATCCATCCATCTATCTATGATTAATTCATTCCAACTCTAGCCTGGTTTCAGCTTCATTTGATCCAACAATCAAAACACACCTGTCTATACCTCAACATTAACCATATGTGTTTAACACCTCCCCTGGTTATGCACTTATTACTGTATGCGTTCCACATTCAGAAGAGCTACTGACCCAGCTCGGTCTCAGCGAGGGGGAGGTTCTGCTCGACCCAGTCCTCAGAGCGGCTCAGTGCCAGGCCCATCCCAGAGCTGACCATCTGGCCCATCCTGGTGCCCATGGCGGTCATGAGCCCTCCGCTGATGGCTGCCCAGGTCATCTCCACCCCGCCCATCGCAACCCCCAGCACGGCGTCTTTGGCCCCCGCCACCGACTGGTACACCAGACCTACTGTGTCCGACACCACCTGAGGAAGGAAGAGCCGATGATGAGTCATGCTTGGAGAGAAATGGTGGTTCTGTTGTGTTTTATTCTAATAGCTCTTATATGAAATTCAGGGAGTGTTTTATTCCATTTTTACCATGGCTACTGTATTTCAAGGAAAATAGTCAGTGGCTTAACCCATGGCTTTGTTATTTGTTAATAAAGTGTAACAGTATTTGTGCACCTATTGTGAAGTGTCAAATGTGTTGCTATGGTTACCTGAAGTGTTATTCAACATGTGAACTTATCACACATGTTATAAAATGGGCTGTTATTCTGTGAAACGACTTATTATGATAGAGGTTAAGGTTATAATTAATGAATCCAAATGCAGAATGTAGATATAGGTTTGTTGACTGCATTATTTATTTTCTGCCTGACCTTGTCTGCTGGCTGGTGAAGAATAGGCAGCTTCTCCTCCATCTTATCCAGTCCTTTCAGGGCATACTCGTTCACCGTGGCAACTGGAATAACAGAAATGTACTAAATGTTTTCAACTAGAAACAAATCCTTGGCTAACCCGATCAGTCGGAAGCAATACCCAGAAACAGAAACAGGAAATATGTATCACGGGGGAAATTAGGTTTTGTAAAAGTTGCTGCATTTTAGAATGGTATAAAAGAAATAAGAAACAAATAGAATAAAAACATTCATATAAGAAAAAATCAGTTAAAGTATGGATGTGCAGTAAAATAAATAAATAAAATAAAGATATTTATATAGACTTAAAAAGGTTAAAGTAAGAATGTTAAATAAAAAGATACAAAACATGTATAAAAACCAAAGAAGTTGAAATAAAAAATGTGTACATTGTACTGCAATATACACCATGAAGAGTACAATATATAAAGTGGTGTATTAGTATGAATGAGATATAAATGCTGAATTGCAAAGTTGTGGAAATTAAAATAACAACACTGATAAACAATCCTACATTTCTTTTCATAGTAGAAAACTCTTCTTTTAAAAAAAATTCAGATTATGATTATTTTTTAGCCCAATTGGACCTGACATTGGTTTCACACCTTTAATGTGCAACAGGTTTGCAATCCTCTTTCATAGTACGCCAACATTGCGACTATGTTACATCATATTTAGCAGAGAGACAAGAACTCACTCTGTGGTTCTATAATGTCCAGGAGGGGCTTGGAGCCTGTGGTGGCCACGGCCCCCAGGGTCCGGACCCCGCTCTCCGCTGCATCCATCACTCCCTTCAGCAAGGGCACGCTGTCTTTGGTGCTACTGTAGGCGCTGGACACCGCCCCGCACGCCGAGCTGACCAGAGGCAAATGGCTCACTCGGGAAACAATATTCTAGGTAAAAAAGAAACATTATTGAAGAGACATACAAAAAAAGTTAAATACAACCCCGTCTGCGTAAAGTTAAGATCTTTCAGGACAGTGTTCAAGTATTCTGTTGTGAATAATGATTGATTCCCCACAGTGGCTTATCGAGCGTCAAATGAGTTCATAATATGCCTGGGTTTTATAATATGTGTCATTTCGGGTCACAGCGCTCCTCACCTGCTGGTCTCCATTATCGGGTTCTGCTGCTGCAGCTCCACTCTCATTAGTCTTCCCGCTGTCTGCCATTGTGAAGGCTGGATTCAATCTCTGACATAAAATATAAAGAGTCACACACAGAGATTCACCTCACACTGCCCGGTATGCATGATAAAATACATCTCTGATATTTCTCTGTGTAAGAGGCTGATACACTTTATTGAGAAGAATCGGTAATACTTTTGGAAATGGAATGGGTGTCCTGTCAGACGGTTTAAGGATAAATGGGCTGAAAGGCAACTCAAGCATGTTCAATTCATTTGTCAACACTATGATGCAATGAGGATGAAACTGCACCAAAAAAAGAATATGCTGCAGCCGAGCAAAGTCATTAACACTTCAAACTCTACACTGTCAAAGTTTTAAGTCAAAATATGGATTACGATATATTTTGATTTTTTTCGTATTGTTTATTTCCATACTTTGTGCTTGCTTTTCTTTTAAATAATATCATCTCGAAATAATTTAATGAAAGTGTTAAGATCTGAAGCTGATAAAACCTTTGAATTTGCTCATGAAAAGAGGGATACATGAGGCCAATGATTGGTATATCAAAGTGTAGGTCATGTATGGGATAGTTATACATGTAAACACACACATATATTTTTTAATATCTACATCTAGTGACATCATCACTGAGGTTTATGACTCGCTGTTCCACGAGTATCTTTGCATCATAGTCACAAAATATATTCCTTCCTTCAATTTTTCTTAAAACCTCAGCTTTTTAGTATGTGTACATACTAAGAAACACTATTGGTTTCTCTGGGTGATGATTGAAACAAGATGAAAGGAGTATAGACAGAAATGTTGGGGCTGATACAGGTATTTGTCACATTTATGGCTTAGAGTCAAGAGAAAACTCATGAATAACTATGAACCAGCAGGGAACTAATGCTGGAGATTGATTGTTCACAGGCTCACTTGAAGGCAGACAAAATGGATCTCAATATCATTTACATCAAGGGAATGTTTTAAGGGAAATATTGAATGTTTTACAGTAAAATATCGCTTTAAATAAAAAACCAAGCCATTACTCAAGTGAAAAATTGCTTTAAGTGAAAACTACCGTATTACATTAATACAATGAGTTATTGCCTTGAATGAAAACGATATCTTTCACTTGATTGGGTCACAGAAAAGGGTAAAAAATCAATTGCACATTCAGTATCTTTTCTTCTTGATGTAAGAAGGAGAAATTAATAGCATAATCTCAGTTTCGCGCAGGACAGGTGAAGTGAGCGAATGTCTCCAGGCTACACTGTGTGCAACGCAAGATTTCAATGTACAATATTTATATTATAGTTTAATCTGCCAAATGAGTCCAGAACACAAACAAAGTGTTTATCTCATGTTATAAGTAAAACAGTAAGTCAATGTATTGATTCATTTAAGCGTATAATCATTGTTTCCCTTCCTTGCAACTATTTCCATGATCAATTATTTTTTGGTTCCTGCTTCTCCACCATGAGGATTTTCAGCTTTTTTTAAAATCTGATAATACTGTTTACTGGATACATTTTGTACTGCTGCCAGAAAAAAAGCAACTTTAAGACATCACCTTGGGTTCTGAGAACTTAATGACAGTAAAAACAAATTGATTTCTCATAATATTCGGACATGTTATATACCAAACCTTATCAGGAAAACTGCAGATGAATCAACAACAATAACATGACAAAGCGATGCAAATGAGAAAAACTAAGAGGCATGAAAGCTGGTGCTGCCAACATGTGGACGGCATCTGTTTGAAATCTACCAGATGGCATGCAGGGAGACATAAGTGGAGTCCACCTGTAGTTTCTGAAACACTAATTGTTTACAATGGTTACCCTGATGTTAAGGGCAGAGGAATCAATCAAAGAAGGACATGACCTCTGTGATCGTACTGCTGGGAAAAAAGGCAGCAAAGACGTGAGGAGTGCAGCCGACCAGCTGTACAGGAAGTTAAATCTCAAGTCTACACGTCCACATGACGGACCAGACTCCACTCATATCCATAAAACTACACAGAAGACAAGCAGCTCCAACCATGGGTGACCTTTATATGTCAGGCTGATAAAATCTCTCCAGAATCTGTGTTTGCAAATTGCATTTTGTTGCAACAGCTTGGTTGAGCAACATGTTTTTTTTCTCAAACGCAGTTGGAGACATCTTCACTGATTTTATTACAAAGCAAAGTCTGTCACTTTGTTCCCTGCTATCAAGTGTGAGATGAACCCGAGATAATTTTTAGAGACATGGTACATATTGTGAGGACGGCAATTATGTAATAAAAACTAGAGTTACTTTAGACTTTCGGAAATAATCATTGTCTGCCTGACAAGTGATTGCAGCAAGGCTTTCATAAACAAGCCTTTTCCTATTGCGTTAGGACTGTTTGTAACATCCTCACACTGTTGAGACACATCATATCCTTTCAGAGAAGGGAAGGCTGCTGCAATCCCTTTGGACATGACCGATTATTATGTGACCTTTGATATTAATGGACAAGCTGGTATATCTCCAGGAAATGTTGAGGCACTTGCCATACTGGAGAGAGCTGAAAAACAAAGAGGGATCAGTAAAAGTCAGTGGGTTAAAGAGGAAATCAGCCGTCCTTGATCCAATGGACTACAGCTGTCGTTGATCTGACAGACTGAGAAAAAATTTAGAGGAAAGAGCTAGTTTCTCAAAAATGTAATATTGATTTTAGAATTTTCACGAGTATCATAAGATTATTATATTTCCCAAAAAATTGCTGGAATTGTGTCGACCCAGATCATCAGTCAAATAAATATAAATCATTTAGTCAGCACCCAGCCACAAGGTTAAGACCTTCCAAGAGGTCATAACATCAAAACAGGTTCAAGAAGCGAGATACAAGTATTTATTATTCTTGTGAAATATTGGAAAATCTTATATCTTCAGCTCCAAAGAAAACCATCAAATAAGTCATATTGAGTGCATATATCTTGTGTATGAGAAGATCATATCCAAACACTTAAAATGTCTCAAGTGGTCACTGTCTTAGCAAGCACAACATTATTTTGAAGACATACACCTTAAAGGCAATGCTCTGTTTTGGCATTAAATGGCAAATGTTAATTTCTCGAAGAAACATAAAGGCAGCGTGACACAACTGTTTAAATCCTGCTGATTTCCAACTCCTTCTGGCTGCCTTTGAACACAACACCGTTTCGTCCTAATGCTACAAATCAGCTGTCATTTCTCCAGTTAATTGTTGATGAACTTTACCCCAGATGTGAAACTATGACTTGTTACAGCAAACAACAACCATATTGTGATCGGTTTATCCTTATTTATCACAATTTCTGGTCAAATGCAACCCTCTTCGACGCGGAGCAAAGTAAGTATGGAGGTAGTTTCCCTAAATGTGAAAGTGAGGTTAAGTTACGAGTTAGCTTAGCATACGTGTTTATGAAGTTGATTAAAAAAGAAAACAGAGCTGTTAAAACTGACCTCACTGGCAGCTTGTTGCTCCTCTGTCCTGGTTTGACCTGCAGGATAATGTTGGTCAATGCTCTGGTGGTCCAGCCCACAACCAGGCCCTGTTCCTCCTTCTGTTCTCCGGAATGCAGTGCAGGAAGGCGGAGAGAGGGATTGTCTTAAAACACTTTAAACCAATTAAATCACAGCACGGAAGTTACACACACAGCTGTCACATCTGGTAGAATAGATGTGAATACACTGACATACAAAGTTAAATTCATGCACAATTAACAAGCCAGACGTTGTAACTTTAATGTCTTTACTTTCTCTCTAAGTCAGCTAACTTTTGTTGCCTTACTTATTGGTAGTGGTGGAATATAACTAAGTGCATTTACTCAAGTACTGTACTTTTTAGTATAGTGTTGGGGAAACTTATACTTTACTTGAGTATTTCCATTTTATGCTACTTTATACTTCCACTCATTTCAAAGGGAAAGATCGTAATTTATTTAGTTACTAGGTACTTTTTACATAAATACATCAAGTATACTATTAATATACTCTGCAGTACACAAAGTATCCTACATTTGACCACAATGTCAACGTAGAGCATTATAAAACTCTAATATGCATTTTCTAATAATAAAAACAGAATAATAAAATATTATATATTAATACAACACTTTGAGATTCTGCACAATCAGTATTTTTACTTTTCATTCTTGAGTACACTAAGCTGATAGGACTTATGTACTTTTTACTTAAGTAAGATTTCTACTTTAATACTTGTGATACTTATTCAATACTTATTTGTAATTAAGTATTCTTAAAGTGTGGTATTATTACTTTTACTTAAGGATCTGGGTACTTTTTCCACCTCTGCTTAATGGCCCCTATTTCCCAAGATATACTCTTATTGTTTAATGTCTGTTCTGTAGCAAATTCAATCCTAGTGTGATAAGTTGAAATACATTTATTGTTTGCACTACTTCTTCCATCACTGGTTTTGGAAACGTAATGATGTGGCACTTCATGGTGCCACGGTGTTTCAAGTCCACATCTATTATACAGGTTAACAATTAATTAAGAAAATAAATCTCTGCACAAGGTCCACTTATTGACCATTTTTAGGGGCTTTATTTCAGCCACACCTTGTTAACATCTATTGGATTTGTATCAGTTATCAGGGAGATGTTTATGCTGTTATCTCCTGTGATAGCGGTTGTATATGGATGATACTCCAGTAAGTTGACCTTTTGATCAGTTTTCTTTCATACTTGTTTTGAAGTTAAGTACCTTCAAGCTTTACTTTTCCTTTTGTTTCTTAAGGTAAGGTTAAAGCTTGAGCCTCTTCTATTTAGCCTACCAGCAGCAATCCCCTAATAAATGTTTAACATTGGACTTTAATGCAGTTGTAAGCCGCTATAAGGAATTTTTTTGTAACCATACAACTATAACTGCTCCTGTGAATCATCCTTAACTTGTGCCTAAAAAGTTAATGGATAATTGAAATCATAATAAGAATGATGTCTTTATGTTTTATGTGGATATCAAACATGACATATTTATTTATTATACCTATTAATCAAATGTATTATATGAGTTGTATTAAATGATCATGGGTAGTATTATTGAAGTATATATTAATTTGTCATTCTTTCTTTTTCACTCTTCAGGCAATTGTGATCCCCATCCACAAATGAAAGCCATAAGATGCAACAAGATGCATCAAGAAAGCTCCAGAAGAAACCCAGTAAGTGGACTTTGAGTTGAGAACGTTTGTTAAATCTCCAACTGATTATAAACTCTGTTGATAGTTATGTTACCGTTTATACAGTAGTCATGGAAGCTTTTTATGAAAGGTTGTTGACAAATTCATTAAGTGTCCTTATATTTGATTACTCCTACGTAATATTGTGTTAAACGCTTTCATTATGTGCCAATAAAACAACGATTACTTATCACTATTGATTCACTTGTGAAGTGCATTATACTGTGTATAAAGCCAGATGGCTGGGATCCAGGCTGCCATGTTATCTGCAATTGACTGAGGAAACCCTGAGAGGGCAGTCTTTACCCATAGAGTCAACTTGGACCTGATGTCTGTAGCCTCACCCACTGAGCTAGACTCATGCACATCTTTACGATGTTTTCACTGCAGATGCACTAAAACTCCACAGCAGAGATTATATATTGTATTAAATATTCAAGAATACATTTTTAAAGAATCTTCAGAAAATATGAGGCCTGGGTTTTAAAGGAGTACAGACTGCATTAATCGACTTAGTCTAAGATCTTATTTTCACATAGGCTTTCTTCTTCACGTGGCATTTATACATTATATAAACATACTGTGTACTTTATTATTGTAACACAGATACTTCCCCTGGTGGATACTGTGTATCATCACGACTCAAACTCCATTATCTCTCCCTCAGATTTTCATTATTCAAGTCATTACAGTTTCCATTATGTGTCCCTTTGTGTGTTCCTAAATGCCTGCACCAATTTCAAGAGAAAGGTAACAGATTACTTTGAATGTTACTATCTGAAATTCATTGAATACCTGTTTTTTGTAGCTTTGTTTTTGCCATGTTTAAAATCCAGGCTGGTTTATATCTTGCAACACCAGACTGAGGTCGTGAGACTAAATGGGTCAGAGTGGGAGAAAATAGCATAATGTGGGAAACATGGGTGTGTTGTCTTGACCACAGCTGTGTGGCTCCTTTCCCTCATATTGTTTGATTTGTTTATGAATGACCAAGCAATTCAACCGCTGTATTTTACGCCTTTAACTAAAACACACACACAAATCCATACATACCAGTGCCAACACATTCTCCTGCAAAAGAGTTGGCAACATCTTCCCCGAAGGCTCTCATCTGTTCCCGCTTAACTCTTAACTCTGCTTCACTGGATCAGTTGATTGAGGCCAAAATTGTTCTGGATATTGAGTAATTGAAGATTAGTAGATAACAGGAAAATCTTCCATCCCTTAGACGTAAAGTGATCACTCCACTCTCCCCCTCTTTGTCTGCTTACCCTGCCTGAAGACGTCTTTCACGATAACTGCAATAAATTGGAAATTGAACCTGATTTTCATGGATGTGAAAGCAGAACCCACCAATCTTATTTATATGGATTCATTTTTTAAGATATTGTGTGCCTTTTTCACAGTAAATAGAGTTGTCATCCTTGATTATTTGGTCGTTATAGAAAAGAAAGACACAGAGTGCGGTATACATAGCAACAAATAGCACCAAAAGACCATTCACAGTGAGCAAATGCATTACCTTAGGTTTGACAACATGCAATGCAGTATCCCACACAGATTTAGCCATTAGAATTGATCAAATTACCCAAAATAAAACCAACACCTAATTAAAAACCACAACAAATGTTAAGTGGATCAATATAAAAACTTTTAAGATGTTCAAATCCCATGGGCACTATTAATCTTTGAGTTGTTTTTCATTGAAGAATAATTGTTTTAATAAGATATCCATCATCATCAAAAGGCACTTTAGAAAGCAAAGAGGCCTGTGCTAAGCTATGAAAGGAGCAGAATAATTACTCTGTAATACAATCCATTTGGTTTGTTTCATGTTTAATATCACACCACCAGTCTCAGGTGTACTGTGGAGACATCACAAGCATTTATTTGGCTCCACGTTCCTTTTCCCTCCTGTTTCACCTTCTGCTCTTCATTATCAGCGGCTTGGAAACCGTAGAAATTAGCTTCAATCCATTATTAGCTGACCCGATCTGCTTGGTTTCATCTGCGCTACACCATTGATAGGAATCTTATTTCCAACATCCTGCAACAAATTTCCGGAGGCTTGCAACATAAGGTATCGGTAACATACAACACAGCTACAAATCATCTGCAGGTTGGAACTTGATATGGACCTCTGCCCTTACTATATTCTGCTCAATAACATATTAATAAGGCAGAACCAATGCTCGGGAAATGCACCGGTTGTATAAGAGACCTACTCTATCATGTTGAAATAATAAAGAGACAGCAGGTTGACCTTGAGTCAAATACTGGTATGCACATTATTCATTTTTAGCATTCTTTCCAATAGGATGCTATGAGAATATCATGATCTGAAGCTGCCTTGAGGCTAGTTTGAAGAAACAGTTCAAAGACACCGACATCTTGGGATATGTTGTTTTTGTTTGTTGCTGAAGAGTTATGGATTGATAGCACTGTCACATGGGTAGAGACAGTAAATATGTTACTGCAGCTAATCGCAGTTAGCTCAGCTTAGCTTAGCATAAAGACTAGAAACAGAGTTGCTGAAGAGTTAGCATTAGATAATTGATAACATTCTTACATATGAACAGTACATATGTAGCTGGAGCTAATTGCAGCTAGCTAGCTTAACTTAGCAAAAAGAAATGGGGGGAAAAAGCTAGCCTGGCACTTTGTCAAACTGTAAAAAAAATCCACTTATCAGAGCTTCTAAAGCTTCCTTAAAAACACATTATATGTCGTTTACTGTTATATGGACATGCAGACTATCACTTGACCGTTAGCAGTTGCCAGCCAACCAGTGGATACTCAGGAAGTTGCTGGTCATGCCTAGGAAATAATCTGGCACATATAGGACCCTGAAAAACATTTATTAGTTTTACACTTTTTCTACTCGTATAACATGTTGATTAGTGAGCTTTATAGGTGCTGGTTGGTAGATTGTATTACCTTGCGAGCTGTTTACCACAGTTTGAAGTGTTTATGGTAGGTTAAGCTAACTGCTGGCACAGCTAAATGAGAATATAGAAGAGTTATATTTATGTTCTCATAAAACCCTAGGCAAGGAAGCCTACATACAGCAGGCCTGAATCAAGTAATGATTCTATTTTTTGCCTTTACTCGATGGTAGCTCAGGATCAAAGAAAGACAGGAAAGGGGAAGAGAGCGGGGTCGACATGCGGGTCAGTGGCTCCAAATGGTTTGCAACGGGGTCACCGCAAGGTCATATTCCAACCCAGTCTCACGGCATTTCGTGTTATTAGTCACGAAATTAATTTAATCTATTGATTCGTGTTCACCAACACGATTTTCACCTTTTTTTCGTGTCACACAGAACGATTTTAAATGCAAGGTATTTCTATTGGTAGTATGTTTCGTGCCTGC